TCTGCATATCATTTCCATGCATATTCCATCCACGTGACACCATGTTTAACGCAGTTAAGGGTAAGGAATACATTTGGAAAATATGAGATACGGAGTATAAATGCGTTTTGAGACATCACTATTCTAATTTATGCAATTTGCCTAAAAGGTAAACATATATTTTAGAATGTTTATAGCCTATATTTTTATGGAAAGAGATAGGCCTTATTCTTTTGCAGTGTAATAGCTGTCTGACTCATCGTGTCAATAACAAGGAATTTTGAAAATAAAACGCGCATATCTTACAGTTTCCTTCAAATTCTATCTTTTAAATATGGCGGTTGTCACAATATTGGAAAGAGCACGAAAGGGGTTATCATTAGGCTACTGTCTGTGTCCGACACCTGTGAACAGAGGATCTACTGTCATCATACCAATGGACTGTTCGATCAACGAGCGCATCCTTATGTCTGTCATTACCGTCTATGTTCCAAAGCCATAAGACAAAGTCAAGTTCACATCAATGATCATTATTATTCGCGCAAAAGTATTTTCTCAGAACATGAGTTTTGCTATTTAGAACACAATTTAGAGCGGAATTGTCATACGCCAAGCAATCCTCGCTGTGATTAAAACATTAAATTGCATACCACAGAAAAATTGTTCGAAAGCAGCATATCCACTGCAAATATTTCTATTTAAATTCATATAAAAATTTTGAAGGAAATTTATAATGAAATTTCAGTGCTTAACTTCATTATTCAGAGTGTCATATTTAATCTAAATGTGTATGTCCAATGTAAAACAGACTTTAAAATCATTCTGTTTGGTTCCTCATTTCGCTCTCTCCAGTAAAAGAGTGCGTACGCATGGTCTAGAGCAGTGGTTCCCAACCCTGGTCCTGGAGGCACCCCAACACTGCACATTTTGCATGTCTCCTTTCTCTGACACACCAATTTCAGGTCTTGAAGTCTCTACTAATGAGCTGATGGTCTGAATCAGGTGTGTTTGATTAAGGAGACATGCAAAACGTGCAGTGTTGGGGTGCCTCAAGGACCAGGTTTGGGAACCACTGGTCTAGAGTGTCCTTACGGTGCGCACATATTTACGCCTAGTTTATTTTTTTATAAATCCCGATATGTGCATGGAAAATTGCGTTTATTTGCAACGTTTATACATCAGGCCCCTGATGTTTTTTTTTTTTTATTATTATTTTTTTTTATTTACACTCCTTAAAGCAGCAATGCAAAGGGAAAAAAATGCAATTACAAAAACCATCATGCAAAGTGGAAAGGAACATGTTTCTTGAGCAGTGAGGCAGGCTAAATGTTTAAAGAGTTGGTCCTCAAGCCACTTTGTCAATGAGCTCATTAAAGTTGCATGGTCAGTCAGAGTTCAGGAGTCCCCTTTTCTTTTGATTAACAAGACTATAAACGTGTCTGACAGATTCAGTTTCTGAGAAACTTAATATGTACTCATGCAAAGCACTTCAAGTTTTGTTCTACTTCCTGATTCTAATTTTATCAGGCAAGGGTTGCAGTGTGCCAAGGCCAGAGCATGATATGTGTGTGTGTTTATGTTACTGCCAGATTCTCCCTCCAGTCTTCGCTCATCCTTGGCCTGGGCCTCTCGAAGACAGCAGTGCTTTCTTCAGTCATACAGTTCTTGTCAGGTCAAATCTCAGCCTAAGCCAAGAAATGTATGTGCCAGGGTATAATGAACACATTCTTAACTGCGTTACCTTGATTGGAAAGTCAGTCACACCAGACATTCAAATCGTTATCTTTATAGTTATCGTTCTTATTGTGAATGGACCTTAAGACTTGTTAGTTTTACTACAGGAGTTTAAAGGGCTCACGAACGGCCTTTTTTATTATCCTGTACTGTTCTCTGTGGTCCACTTGTAATGTTATCAAGATGTTTACATAAAAAAACATAATATTTTAGCAGTAATAGGCTATTTTCTGTCCTGTTTTGACCCCCTCATCTCTGTTTGAGTAGGCGTGGCGGATTGTAGACTCGGAAGTAAACACCCACTGCTATGATTGGCTAACAGTTGTGTATGTTTGACAGCTACAGCCTTCATAGATGGACGCTGCTGTGATTTAGGTCAAAAATGCATAAAAACTCAGAACATATCAAACGATCTGTAATCACAGAGAAAGCTATAGTGATCACGTAATAAACAGTTACTCACACTTGTGTGGTGCGACATTACTGTCAGATCCAATATAGTTGGCACAGCATCGTCTTTTAATTTCAGTCTTTCAGAAAATCCGGCGTCGAATTGTGCCATGTTTGTAAAAGAATCCCGGGTGAAATAAGTGAACAAATGAAATCTTGTTACCTTTGGAGCATCTTTATCGTTTGGTTTCTGCGTAGAACTGCGTTTGTCTCTCTCATTACACTACGTGTGCGAATCAGTGGGCGGAGCTAAACAGGCAGTGACGTAGAAGCAGGCGTTGATCTTCTTCTGCGGAGGCGGGGTTTACCCGCTCTATTACGTCATAGAGCGGCACATTCCACAAGCTATCGTTTTGGCAGATTGGCTTCAATATAACCTGTTTTTAGACTAATGAGAAAGTTTTGAGTTCTGAAACTTACAGGATGTTTTTATAGTACGATGACCTCTTATATGTCACAAGATCAAGGGAATTTTGATTTCTCAGTTCATGACCCCTTTAAGGGATCCAATTTCTGAAGAACTACTGACGGAAGTCAAAGCTCAGATATTTAAGTTTTATATGTGGGAAAGTGTGTGAGAGGGTCATTCCCAACCCATATAAACTTACTGGCCCTGCTTAACATTCTCTACCACTTACACCACTGCCAAGAGAAAGAGAGCCCAAATTTTCTCTTCAAAAGCAGTTTAGCTTTTACTGCTTGGGCCACATGAGCTCCATGCTCAGCCAAAAACTGTTAGCTAAACCTTGTGACGTGCACGTCCGCTAGAATGGCAAACTGGGATAGAAATAGTGCTCATTGTTCAGCAGATCCTGCTGGGGAAGTTCAAATTATTATGGAGCGTGCTTGTTGCAGCATTCAAATATCACTTACCACATTCGTAGAATATCATGCCTGTTCTGTAGACGTGCTCAGAAAGGCGTCACCCCTGCAGTCTCATCTCATTTGACTCCCTCTGGGGGACCAAGGGGGTTGGAACAGGTGCATCACTAAATAATGCAGAAAACCCGTGTTTATATTGGATACAAACTCATCCAAAACATGTTCCTTGAGGAATTTAATTGCTTTGCCAAAATGTTCCAGAACTCCAGATGTGCTCATTCCCGGACAGGAGCCATCCCACCACAAGACAAGCTGGACTTCATTGGCATAGGCAATTCGGTGTCACATTCCTCGCACCCTCCCTCCCAAAGCAGAGAACAGACACTTGAGTTCTTTCCTGAGTTACAACCCTTAAGGGGCCCACTCAGATGCCGTTAACTGGGGGTTTTATTGGTCAGTCATTGCATACCGTATAGTATTTCACTCAAATGAGAAGTAAGAATTTTGAAGGCTGGGGGTCTGCATCAGGCCAGTTATGAATGATGAGTTTGTAATGGATTGTTTCCACTTAGCCATTGGATAAACATTTTGTGCCACATGAGAATATGAGCAGTCTTCATCAGGCCTTGTCACTTCAAGCACACTCTGGAGTGCTGACAAATAATGCTGAATGAAAACATATGCCATTAACCAGAGTTTACTTGAAAATTACATTCTAAGTCTGTTGTCTGTCTGCCTATCTATGTACTGTAAATCAGCTATTAAATAAATTAAAATCAAGCCATCTAGTAATTAAAATGGTCAAGTTCTATACTGGAAAGCCAATTGGTATGCAGTAGTTAAAACATGCTGTGCTTTGTGGTGGCTAAGACACAAAAACACCGCCTTGCTTCAGTTCACACATTCAAAGAACAACACATTTTATCAGCACAAACCATGCATAGAAATTATCATGTTATTATTATGTTAAATTATATTATTGTTAGATTATCTGATCTGTGGCCATATTACAGAGATAATCTAACTGAAGAATCATATCTGTTTAGTAACCAGTGATTTCAGGATCTCATTTAGGACAAAAGATTTCATCCTCCTTTGGAAGAATTTGCTCATATGCCCCATAGGAATGTGTGTGTTTTTATTTTTTTTTAATAATGCTTATATAACGACCAAAACAACTGAGTTAGGCCCCAAGCCAAATGCTTAGAGTAAGATGTTCACATAACAGATAAAATGGTAATGAAGCCTTAAAAATACCTTTTAAATACATGACCTGATACAAACAAGCTTCTGCTCCTTGTTCTAGACCTCTATCCTCCTTATTCAATAGACATTTTATGTGGAATATCTTTAGACATTTGGCATTACATATTATGTATTATTTTTTTATACAACAACTTTGAATGGAAAGTTTGATATGGCTGTTTGGACCATGTGAGTAGCACTTTATACTACAATGTCCATAGCACACACATTGCATTGACATAATTACAGAGTTAACAGAACTTAATTACAATGGTTCTCCAGAAAAAAATATAATTATATTTTAATTCACCAAAAAATGTAAATTCTGTCATCATTAACTCTATCTTATGTTGTTTCCAAACTGCATGACGTACGTTCTTTTGAGGTAACAAAAGTGAACGATTATATTTTGCTATTTAATATGCAGCAATTAACGTTTTCATAAACATTGTTTTAAAGCACGGCATTGCTGCCATCTCCTGGAAAACTGCCTACAGTGCAACATTGATAGCCTGTGATCTTGTAAAACAGAAACACTGCAACAGCACAAAGCAACTGCATTTAACAAAACATGAGCCTACTCCTACTACTGCTGCTAATGATAATTATAACAAATAAAAATGTGATTACTTCAGATTTGATGTTATGAATTTAAAAAGCTTACTTTAGTAATTAACAGTACTTCACAAGTAAACGTTTTTGCTTTGTTATTTAGTGCAGAGGACTTTTAATTTGAAATAAAACGTGTCGTGTAATGGTTTTCCCGGATGTGGGTGCGTCGGTCAGCTATTTAATACATAAATTGTCACTACGAGCCGAAAATATTGGATTGAGTGCCGCTGCTGTATTATAAAACCTTTATTTGTTGATATTTGTTTAGTCGTTTAAGCAGCTTCGATTGATTAGACCAATAAAACGCTTTGGATATTGATCGAGATGTGCGCGGTTACTGTAAGATGTGATTTGTTTGCAGAATGATTAGTTAACGGTACAGTCAGTCGTGCTCTCCGCACACAACAAGCGGTTAACATTCGGTCAGTTTCAAGGCTCTTATTTGTTCGGGGCACTATTGCAAGTTAATTACTACATCTAGAGGAGATTGGTTTACCCACGGGATGAGAGCGTGATGAGAGATGTATGTTACTGAGACGCCCTCTCCGCTCTCAGGCTACAGATACAGTAAATGAGTAAAGAGCTAACGTTAGCCGTCACTCAGCTGTTGTGTTGGTGCTGTGCATGAGGCTCAAAGATGTGTCAGGTTAGTGGTAGTTTTCGTGTAAAGAAAAGGCAGTGCAGGTAATGTCGGCTCAGATGTGGCGGATCAGCCCGGATTCCTGACATCAGTAACTGAGCAGGTGAGTTTTATGGTTTACCATGAGCTGGTTATAGTGGACCAGTGACCAATAAAGATATCTGAGAGAGAGAAGATGACAACACAGCTGCACTAGCTGCAAAAATTGTTAGCCATTCACAATGTAAGGTGTTAAACATGGTTAACTCTAAACTGACTTACATTATCTTTTCATTTATTTAGGTGGATTTTAATTATTTGTTATATATGTTGTTTTTTATTGTTTCTTTTTATTATTTATATATATATATGTTAATGCTTTGGCAACATCGTTACACAGTCATGCTAATAAAGCTTAAATGCATTGAAAAAAAATTGAGAGCGTATAAAACACATGTCCCAAATTTCTAAAATTATAATGTTTGTATTTATGCGGTTTAATGTATTTTTTAAAAGCTTTGAAACATTTTTCTACAAAAACTTAGTTTGTATGTCTCTAAAAATTACAAGTAGGGTAGCCATAACAATATAAATAATCATTAAAGGGGACATCGGATGCCTATTTTCCACAAGTTGGTATGATTCTTTAGGGTCTTCATGAAATGTCTGTAACATACTTTGGTTAAAATTCCTCAGTGGTCTTGTAAAACAACACCCTTTTTACCTTGTCAAAAACGGTTCTGTTCACTAGGGCTGTGACGGTATGGGATTTTTTCTTACCGCGGTGAAGACGCAACAAATCACCGCGGTTTGGCGGTTAATCGCAACCCCCTCCCCCTCCCGCGAAATATAATGATTTAAGAACGCATGCAGCTTGTAAATGAACATGGAAATGACTAATAATAACGCAGTCTTCTTTATTATTAAAACAGCAAATTATGTGAACAATAATAAAATAAAATTACATTTATTTAAACTTTGTTTTTTCTATATCTTTTGAGTTTAATAGGAATTATGGAACAGCTTTTAATAATTTAACAGCAAATTATCATTAATATTATTTAACTTAATAAGGCTACATTTATAACAACATTTTTAAAAGTGGAACATAAAAGTGTTTGAATCTGATTTGGGTTTTTCAAAGTGCAACACAAGGGAACATCAGGAACATCATTGTTAAACTACTGGGCCGCTTAAGTGAATCGGCAAGTCCTGCTGCTTTATTTTTCGGTCTTCAAGTTTCTTGCCAGGAAAACCAACATGTTAACTTTGTCTGGTGCATGGCACCTTCTCCATCCCCGCCATCACTCTGCTCATCGGGCATTGCCAGCATCACCTCCAGGAGCGCATCTTTAACGTCATCTTGCCGTCAGCGCAGCTGAAGAGTTCTGCGTTCAAATGCACGCAATAGGCTTAAGCTTGCCGCAAAGCATCGGCAAAACGGATTATGATCATAATGAAAGAGTTTTTGTTTTTGATTTGTTTTATTTCGTTAAGTAGTAATTTAAAGCTTATCTATAGATATATTTATCATGTCTGTGAGGCATGTATTCGCTGAGTTTCGGTCCATTTTTGTGAAGCGTGCCTGTTCAAGACGAGACGGCAAGCGCATCATGTTTGTTTTCTTGATTTTATAAAAGCACAACGTTTTGTTGATATTGTGAGTGCACACAAATAAAAGTAGACCCTTTACAGTTACGAATGAT